CTATCATGGGACAAAATTGGAATCGCTCTACTCGATCCTGTATCTGGGAAAGTTGCAACCGTCCCAGGATGCCTCTCAAGGAGAACAATATTTTTCCCATCTTGAAAGAAGGCAACAAGTCTCTCCGAGCAGTTGCGGCCAAATTAGCAGTGTCGTTCGACCAGGCTGCAGGATCTCTCCGTGGCTCCAAAGCAACGGATCAGTATATTCTCAGGGAAGACTATGTCCAGCTCGAGGCGCTGCTGCTTCACATCACAGACTCACTGCCTTTGGGGACCTATGTGCAGACTGGCTGGAACCCCCTTGCGGAAGCTGCCCCAGTTCAACGCATAGCGAGGGAAAGACCGGAGGAGCCGAGTTCATACAGAAATCCACCAAGATCCTCCTCCCAACCTGCCAAGGAGTCAGCTGTCTCTCAAGATGATGATAACTCCACCTGGCAGCTCGCAACTCCTCCTTGGAGAGTAAACAAGGCAATGGACTCTGACCACAGTGCTCTGCCGACCTCCTTGCATCAGCCCGAAGATGATAGTGATGAATCCTGGGGGGTTTGGTCACCAGCCGCTGCTGCCGAAGGCACAGATCCACAGGATCCATTTCATCAGGAAGTCCCACAGCAACAAGAGGGAAGCAGAAGAGAGCATGCCTGGCAGCCAACAACTCAGCACACACCAAGTTTAGCAGATCTGGATGGTACTCTTGATCGGCTTTCTGGACGGGGCGCTCACGAAACCAGACAGTGATGATAGGCAAGCTCCTCACACAGGCTCTCAGACATGACCCAGTGAGGTATGGCATGTCGCTAGACGCTGCTGGCTATGCCAATTTGAAAAGCCTTCTTAATTCCAGGCAGTTTTGGCGGGCTGAAGTGACGGTTCATGAAGTACAGCGAGTACTGGAAACCTCACAGAAGGTCCGCATGGAGCAGATGACCTCAGAGGAAGACGGTGAAATCTACATCAGAGCCTTACAGGGTCATGGTCATGACATTCCACTGGACGAAGATCAACTGCATGAGGTTCTGTCCTCCTCCACAACACCGGAGTGGGGTGTCCACGGGACGAGCTGGCGGGCCTGGCAGCAGATTCGCTCCTCTCAGCTGCGCAGAATGCAAAGACGTGACATACATATGTCTTTGTCACCAACCAAAACTGCAGGATTCAGGGAGGACTCTTCAGTGGAGATCTAGATCCACCTGCCGTCTTTGATCGACAGTGGACACAGAGTGCGTCGGGCGAAGAATGGAGTACTGCTGACGCGTGGACCCATTGACCTGTCCCACATCAGCACTGTCATTGATCGGCACACAGGCAAGTCTCTGCCCTTCTAAAGCGTCCTCAGCAGTTTCACCTGAACCGAATTCGTTCTGCCGTGGTCTACTTTCGCAGCGGGAGGCTTCCTCCGGAGGATTCCTCCACTTCATTTAAAGTAGACAGCAAGTACGCCCTCTGCTTAAGGCAACAAAGACTTTGACACAGCCTGCACGAGTTGTCTCTATTTGCATGCTCTAAGAGGAATTTCCCCATCCTCCACCTGCTCATTGCCCAGGTGAGCTTAGCGTCGCGCAGTCCACAAGCAGTGGCAGGCGCTTCCTTCTGCAGTTCCTTGTTCTTGAGCCGTGCAGCTTTCAGCTATAGCTCTTGCATGCCTGTTAGCAATGGTCAATGCCTGCCCGCCATAAGAAACCGCCTCATTCTTCCGTTTGCAGTAGCCATTCTAACCTCGAATCCAGCCATCAACACCCGAGTTTCCAATGGAGAGCACTAGCTTGGTGCAAGCGCTCACTCCGCTCCTGGTTGCTCTCGTGCACCAGCAGGTAGTTGCTGAGGACCCGAGCATTTCTTCCGAGACTACCAGCGCAAGGGTTGCGGAGTACCTCCACACTCACAAGGTGAGAATCCTCGCCCAGTTCATGAACTACGCACATGAGGTGCTCCAAGCAGAGAGGTTGAGGACACTGCATTGGGCAGCACAGTCATTGACCGGATATGATGAATGGCGTGAAGTTAAGGCGGCCCGGCGCCAAAAGTTGCGGAGCATCAGCCTCCGTTACTTAAGCCAGATGAGGTTCACCGAGCTTCCCACCACCCAAGGAACGTGGTACTACAGCGTGATCCTCATCGAACTTGAGAGCTTCTATCGGGAGACGCACATTCTCCGGTATACGTCAGGTATGCTGCCCCCGCATCTTGACGCTCAGTACCAACAAGAGGTTGGGCAGGTCCGTGATGAGTTCTTTGCCGAGGATGCGGAGATGAACATAGCGATCGCACAGTGGACCACCATTTCGGCAGGTCTCACAGCATGAGTGGGGGCTACCTCCGGAGGCTTCCTCCCCTTCCTGCACCTCGCCGATTCCCTGTACACTTTTCAACACATAAATCGGCCCATTTGAAGGTGCGGCTCTCAGCGTGACTAGCCATCCATTAGTATGGCAGAACTCCATTAGCACAAAGGTTGATAATAGTGCCTCTTTCTTTCTTTCACTTGGAGGTTTCCT